AGATACCTCAAAGAACTAGGACTGGAAGTCCCATTTGACCCAGCTATTCCCCTGCTGGGGATCTTCCCCAAAGAATTAAAAGAATTATGCCACAGCAATATATGTGCACCCATGTTTATAGCGGCACAGTTTGCAATAGCTAAAGCTTGGAAACAGCCCAAGTGCCCATCAGCTGGAAACTGGATAAAGAAGATGTGTTTTTTTTAATATATAAAATGGAGTATTAGTCATAAAGAATGGGAAACTAGAGACATTTATAGCTAAATGGATGCATATTGAGGCCATCCTCTTAAGTGAAATTAAAAGGACACACGTGTGAATACTGAATAGTTTCTCTAGTGTGAGAAACTGAAAAGGTAATTAAGGATTAAAATGAATAATTGATAATTTTAAATAGGAAGAAAAGGTTCAAACGGGTAGGGGTGGCAGGAGGGGAAGGGGAGAGATCAGAGTTACAGGCTGGAATCTAGAAAGAATCCATATATAGATTGTGTTTAAAATTATAGGAAGAGATATAGATAGAAACTAGGCTGGAGCTCATCAGTGGGTTGGGAAGGAAGAGTCACTGAGATCAAAGGAGATCAGAGAAAGCACATACAACTATGTATAGTACACGGTACTCGATAGTGTGTTGAATGACTGTTACTGTTTTAGGTACTTATCATAACATGCTGTGCTTTTCATCCTTAAAAGCATAATCCTACTTATATAAAAGAGTTTACTGGAAAACAGTGTGCTGCTATGCCAGTGGTAGCCTCATGTATCTCATGTTTAACTGCGTATTTAGATAATATCAAGTGGCCATCACAGATGATTGACATATACCTTTTCAGTTTGCACTTAGAAGTTGGCACTCTGTGTGGTACTTTGTGATACACATGGATGAAATTCTCTAACATATTTCTCAGATTATATTTCCATCACATGTCACATGACTATATTGAAATTTAAATTTAAAAAATTTGGCCTATGTGGAGTCTACTAGCTAATTAGAATTTTTTTTTCCAGACCACTATTTGTTCAATATTAGTTTTGAAAATCTTTTAAAAACAAATCATAACCTTTGATGTCTTGTTAATGCTTGAGTTTTTTTTAAATTATATGGAAAAATGTTTAAGTACTTTTCAGTTTTGCTTTGGTTGAGTTCTATTATATTTGAATATTATTATAGTTTTTTCTCTTGCATTGCTTTTCTTTGAATAATTTTAATTTTTGTATATGTGTGTTTAGTGAATGATAATAAAGTTGTACATTTAAAAAAAAGAAAAAAGTGAATTATGCCCCCTTTATTGTAAAGAATAATTAATACTGTATTTTGTTTTCCACAAATGACACAAATGGAAATATAATACAGCTTAGACAGCTAGTTTTTGGAGAGTCCTCTGAAGATCGCTGCATTAAAATCACCTGTGAGGGTTGAGAGTTTTAGCTCAGTGATAAAGTATTTGCTTAGCTTGCATAAGGCCTAGTGTTTATCCCTGGCATCATCAAAAGAAAAAAAATAAATGAAATCACTTGTGATACTGCCTTGAAATGTAGATTCTTATCTGTCTCAGGCATTCAAAATCAGGTGCTAGTGTAAAATTTGAAACCCAGTGAGAAGATATCTAGCTATGTCTTGTTTGTGAATGTCTTCCCTAATATTCCAGGTAAAACTTGCTAGCATGTCCCGTTTACACTTACTTTCTTTTATTGAAAATACTGCCCAGAGGGGAGGGGCTATGTCTTGATCATTGTTGTATTTTCCAAGTTTAGAACAGTAATTGACAAATGATAAGAAGACATTTGTTGTAATAATGGACACAACAAATGAATGAATGAATGACTAATAATATGGACTGTTAATAATGTGGGCTTTGGCCACGATGAAGAGGAACTGATGATAATCCAACTTCCCAAGTCACAGACAAAAGTGATGGCAAATACAGGGCTATGCCTTCCTCTCCCTTTATTCAATTACCACTGTGACTTTCTCTAGGAAAGAGCATCCTTTTCATTATAATTTCCCAATCCACCTTCTTCAAACCTGAACCATTGCACAGTAGTAATATTAAAGTATGTCTACAGCTCTGTAGCCATTCATGCCTAATCATTTGCTCATTCACATTTAGACCTGGATTTGTTCTGCACCTTTGGCCTGAGATAAAGAGTGCTTTTAAGGAAAGGGGTTAAGAAGTCAAGACAAGAGAATGTCAGGGTAGTGAAGAGGCTAAGAATTAAGGGAAATGGGA